ATGAAAAGGACGATGATTGTGATATGGATGAAAGAATTTTGGATATTTTAGATATAAACTTTTAAAATCTGAAACAATATACGTTCAATTTGTGGTTGAACTTTTGTACATAGTGCTTTACCTGATCTTATGGTTCTATTTTTGAATATAGTTCATATATAAGTCTCCTCAGATTTATGGTTTGGCGACACAGAAAGTGGTATTGACCAGCATAATTAATTTGTCACCTAAACTATGTTGGTCTCGGTTGCTCAAAATATGGCAATGATATCCATAGGATATGTCTCTTACAAATGTTGAGAAACATGTGCCACAAATACAAAAAATTTCTTGAATTCGTTATTTCATATCATTGTATATATACGTGGTGGTCATATTATGATATATACAAGTGAATACAAATCTCGTCAAGTAGATATGGACTACATCTATGATTTTCAATAATGAAGAATGATAATGGGATCTAATTTGTATTGCATATGGGAAAATTTAAAATACAATGGAAAAAGATGCAAAGTATATTGATTTATTTATAACAAATAAGCGACACAAAAGAAAAGTTGTCTATAATTTTATCTATGGAAAATGATGTCAAGTGTGATCTCCATATAAGGTCGATGAGATTAAATTATATTCTTTTTCTTAGTCTTCACCAACAAATAAGGGGAAAACACACCTTTTGGCATCATAAGGTGAACATAACAACATTGATTTTCTTGCGTCTAGAATTATCATTCTTATAATACATATAGAACATTGTCATCTTTCTAATCCATAGATAATTTGAAATTATGGCAGAACTACTGACATAATTTTCACGAGTATGTCTAGTTTTTTCTCTTCTTCTTGTATATTTCCGCAAGTCATTTTCTTCCTTGTACATGGGAATGGAGCCAAAGTGGGAGCTCTTCATCAATGGCCACATGTCACAATGCAAGCTTCTAAGTCATCAAATTCTTTCACATGCACATCAGCGTTTCAATCTCAATATACAAGACAGTCACTTTAAGGTATTCTTTCACTTTCTTAAATTTCAATAGAATTTACGGCTAGTTTGAGTATTAGAGTGCAACACGCACGTAAGAAGCAAAATAAACTCCAACCATAGTCTAGTGGAGAATGATTCGTTCAGTTTTTAACATCTGCAATGGTGTATCCTCAATCAAACCTGAATTTAAAACTATCAACAAACATAATAGAATTATAAGTTTTGTAGTTTGGTGTTACTTTTGCTAATGTCCCATTTTCATGTATTATTCCAATTGTATTCTTAGGGTTCCCTTTACCAAGGGACGAAAGTAATACAAGATATCACATGATTGAACATAGATTTACAGTTATGTATGATGTGGAATTTTAGAAAACGCGTTTCCTCAAATAGTAATATAATTTTTTTTTTTGAAGTGAAAAAAATTATGAGTTCAATTGCCACCTACAAAACTCATTAAGAAAAGGGGTAAGGTTCCTTAGAAAGCACTGCAATGCAAAAATTCTTGTGCCTTCAGTCAAGACAACATAAGAAGTAGAAACCTTTATTGAAGTCTGAACACAATTTCCCAATATTATTGAATATCAACTTGAACTCCCTTTGGCATTCTTCTATATATGGACCAAGAACCCCTATTGAGCTTGATGAACATTTTTGTGGTGTTATTATTTTGACACTTATATTAAAGTAAATTCCATAGCGGCTAAATATGAAAATAATAGTCAACTCATAAGCGATTTAAGCTACTCTTCTTAGTACAACCCACCATTAAAGAAGGATGCCAAAGTCCAATATGATACTAGAGGCTAGAGCCAACAATCTTAAATGAACAATTCGGTGTCACTAAAGCTCAAACAAGCTTTCAGATTCCGAAATTTATATTTTCAATAAGTCAGCATCTTGCTAAGGGTAAATCTCATAACGACAAGATATGAAAATATTAGGCAACGTATTCGTAACAAGGTTAGTCTTTTAATGTAGAATCTCAAGAAATAAAACTCAACTATCCAATCACTGATGTGGTTCAGTTTTGGGAATCAAGGAGAAGACATATTTTCAGGTTTGCAGGACTTTATCTCTGATAGCATTTATAAATCTAAAGAATGATTTGAAGGGAGCTGGACTTCATGGATCACCATTTTAGATCTGATACCAAGACTATGGCCTAATTAGAGGATTTCTCAACACCACAAGAGATAGTTTAAGGTTTCGAGTTTTACAGAAATAAAACTCAAGCACTGAATGATTGGAAAGGAGCATTGATCACGTTTGCACTAAATACACACAATTTGATAGTTGACAATTAATGACATTTTACTTACTGATTAGAACACGAATATAGAAACTACTATTTTTCTTTGGAAGATTTTCAAAATAAAAATCAGACAACAATCTATTTGCTTTTGGAAAGCTGATGGTGTGTCCTTGATTGCTGGTGTGTTGTGCAATTCTTTTATTAACTTTCCTTACTGTAATAGATGAAGTTCAACCCCACTAACACCTAGAGAGGTGAATAGGTGTAATATGCGAAATTTAAATTTAACTAAAAATACCTTACAACAAGTCACAAATTATCAAATCTAGATGAATTCAAAATCAATTTAAAGACTATCAATCACTACGCTGCTCTTCTCCTTTATAACATCCTCAAGAATGTGATTTGATATATGGAGATGAATTTGTGACACAGCTTTGCAATCCCTACGCTGCTAGTCATCCTGCATCCAGGTTGAAAGCATTTTATCAAAACCTAACAAGATATCATCCAAATCCATTTACACAAGAACAGCGCGCATCTTCACTTACCATAGAAAAAATCTCAAGTTGCAATTCATTGATGGGATATCATATTTCATCATTGCCATGCGGAAATCCACCTTAATCTAATACTAGTTTGTTATGAAATCAACAAAATAATTAGCAAGATAAATAAAACAAATGGGTAGAAAACGAGTATTTCACTGTAATCAATAATTAATGTTGTTTATACAAACTCTCAATCAAGATCTAAAGCTCTCTCAAGGCTCTATGAATGTTTTGTTATGTTTGCAAATCGTGGTTAATATATAAACCTTAAACATATAGTTCTAAAAGAATTGGAGTGCTGAAAACGTGTTAAAATGCGAAACGGGCCTCAACCGGCTCCATGCAAGCGCTAGAGCGGGAGATGGCCGGACGACGAGTGGAAATGCATCGAGTTTTTCTCCATGTTCCATAATTTGAACTCTTCAACCAAAACACCAATATCCAATAGAATTTGAATCATATTTTAACATAAAATAATTAAACAACTCCAAAATTTGGAATGATGTACTTGTTTGAAAAGATCAAACCTTTGCAAATTGAAACAATCAGGTTGAGAATAGAGGTTAGGTTACATTTTCACTCAAGCATCTAAATGTTTCGTCAATTTTATCACCATTAACTTATTGCGTATGTTAGCCTAGGGAAAAAAAATCTTTTTATATATTAAAATAACGATAGTTTCGATTAATTTTCAATTATTATTTCACAATATATACTATAAAATTTGAGTTGGCCAAGAAAATACGGGGTTATCAAATGCAACATCATTTCGCTTTGAAATTTGATATAGTATCATAATGTACATTATATAACAAGCATGTCAATTGCACACTTTCAGAACTTAAAATAGACTTTATGTGGGTACAAGGATGGTAAAAAAATCGTTAAACCCGATCTCCACAAGCCTATCCTGTATGGGATGAAGAGTCCCCGCCTAATTGGATACACAGGACGGGAACGGGAATCATTACCCTGAGGCGAGATGAGACGAGTACAGGGAACATGGTTCCAGCCTTGTTATCCATCCCGTTTAAAGTTCTTTTCAAAATAAAAGTTTGTTATCAGACAAAAAGAAAAAATAATCGTAATGTCTAAGGGAAACTTGAGTTGTTCTACAAATTAGAAAAAACTAATTATTCACCCATTAAAAAATAAATAAACGGGGTGGGGACCCCGACCCGTCCCTGATCCTAACACTATCCCAATCCTACTTCATCGGCCCGCCTTAATCGGATATGGGTACAAGATAAAGAGACGAAAACACTTGACATGACAAGGGATGAGTATGGCTGCCCAATCCCAACCTGCCCTATTGCGATCTCTATTCGGGGATGAATCTAGTTTCAACTCAAAATTGAAGTTTAGGATGAAAAATGACCAAAATTGATCGAAAACTTGAAAAATGGTCCAAGCCCACATAAAAACTGTAATTAGGGACCAATTGAACGAAATTAATAGTTGTGGGATTGAACTACGATTCAACCGCGGTCAGCTTGACACCCTTGTTTGTGGTGCTCCACCAAAATTACACAAACATTTATTTCTATTCATAAAATATGTGATTATCGACAATAATTGTCAGTGCTCATTTACTCTATTTAAATATTTACTATTATTTTTGAAGAAGTCCTTCAAATATTTTGCCTATCAAATGGCCTGAAGCTCAAGAGAGCCACGAAATCAACAATCTCAAGTCTGCAGCTAGTGGGATAATTTGGAAGTGCCCGAGGAGGAAAGTTTTCGGGTTTAGCTCGACAGAAATTAAAAGATTGATGAAATGATTTTATATTTTATTTCTTACACTTCCATTTTAGAAGAACCTTAGTACCTGAACATACTTTCAACTTAATGTTGTTTGATTATAATTGATTTTATCGGAGGTTATAATAAATTTGGCCCATGCTCTGTTGATTACATGATTACATTCCTCTGTATATGCTAGGCAATTGAAATAACATTCCTTTATCTTCTACCAAGAACTACAGAACGTTAGATTATATGATTCACAGTTATGAAAATGGAAATTACAGACGCGAGGCGAACACAACATTAACATATAAATATTACAATAATATAACCAAAATATATTTAAACTTATGTGGACAAAAGAACAAAACGAAGGGCAAAATTTGAAGTTTTTTAAGGATAGGCTATGCCTTGGCCTCACAGCTTGTTACCCAGTCTGTCGCAAAGAAATCTCTATCAACTACAAGCAAAGGCGGATCCTCTGCTCCTCCCTCTCCTCCCCGGTTATCATTGTTGACAAGTTAAGATCCCTCTCAGCTAAACATCTTTTATACGGCACAAAGCCCTTCTTGCAACCCATTGCATTTGTTCTAGCTTTCTTGCTTATTCTGGAGGAAAGTGAAACCGCTTTCTTTGCTTCCTTTCCTTCCCCTTCGGTGGAAAGAATACTACTCTGAGCTTCTACATCCCCATTCTTATCTCCAACAAGCGATGCACTACCTATATCCGTATTTGAACCTATTGAATATCCATCCTTCCCATCACATTTCTCCTCTTCTATCTTATCAAACGATTGACAAGCCTTGATTGGGATTGGATTATGGACCTGCAAAGGTGTGCGTGTTGCATAGCCACAAAGGGAAGACAATTGGACAGTGACGGGACAAGCCTCTACATGGTTTGATTCATTGTCCATTGACTCAATGTAATGGAATGGTTCAGGTAATCTGCGAGATAAGCCACTCCATGTACATTCAGAATGCCTCGACAAAGAACTTAGATGCACAATATTACATGGCAGTGCCTGGTAACATGCACCGTCATTTCTGTCTAGTTCCTGCATTTTGCAAGTTCCAGTAGGAAAAGATGGTCCCTGAGGATCAGTTACTAGAAACGTCTTGCCAAACAGCTTCAAACACTGCATGGTTGATTCCGTTGACTCTTCCTTAACTAAAGCATTATCTTCATATTGCAGCTCCAGTTTCTGGACAACCAAATATAGTATTGTTGTTTATAACAAATCACTTCGGATGTGTCAAAATTATTATAAAATTAGTTAAGCACATACCGAAGGAGCTTGTTCTTCTGTACTTGAACGAACATCTTCTTGGCCAGGAGAAGATTTGGATTCTGCTGACAAAAAGTTAGCTGCTTCAGAACGAAAAACAGCACCACCATTGACAGCAGCAGATGAAATTGGGGACGGGCTTCCATACATATCAGAATACATTGTAGCATCCGAACCAATTGCAGACAATACAGATGTCGGAGATTGGTTTTCCTGCTGTGAGGCAGACAGATTGGGAGATAGAGAACTTGATGTTTTCTCAAGCGCTGAGATTACAGTTTTGACGGGAGAAACCTGCTTACGAGGATATGGATGCATTGGCTTCCTTTTGGGCCTAGGAGGGGGGACATCAATTGGTTTCACAGAGCTGGCATCACCACTATTAGACTCGCGAACAACCTAAGCAGAACAGATACATCCAAGCTTTATTTAATGGTTTAAAAAAGGTTTAACCCCGCACAAGTCTGCGCACCTTGGAGTCGTAAGAAATATGACTTAAAAAACAGCACAGAGATATAATGGGAGATAATGATACTGGTATAAGAGCAGTAAAAACCTTGGAGAAAAACTTTTGCGCATGGCTTCGAATTTGTACTGCAGTTTTTGTGCCCACATGCTCTGATAAAATCAGAATCTCCTTTAAATAAATCGAAGACTATATTAAATGTACTCAAGAAAACATTCATGTACAAGGAATAACCACCTTCTATTTTTCTCCATGCTCGACCGTAAAGTTTTAACGCCTCAAGAAACTTTTTGTGCTCTTCTTCGGTCCATCTTTCTCTTTGTTTCGTGATTGTGTATGGTTTCCTGACCTATTCAAATGAAAAAAATGCAAGATAAGTTGAGATTAACAATAAGTTCTCCTCAACAATTGACATCAATAAATAGAGGGGGCATACAAACCTTTGAAGCAAAGTCACCCTCAGGAGTCAACTGCTCTTCGAACAATCTACCCTTAATGGAAGGTGCACCAATTTTTTGAGAAATTTGTTTGCTTGTAGGAAGAATAATATCTGATCCAGCGGCTTCTTGACCCTACATAAAAGAAAGTGCATGTAAAACATACAATATCAAGAAGTAAACTCAAGAAAGAACATTTCTCATTAATTTTAATATATGTCAGGGACTATAATTCTTGAGCACAAATATTGTGATTATAGAAGCATTCCTCTCAGAGGCACTATCAGTTTTCCAAACTTATTTTTGTCATGTAATGGAAAACCTTGTGAGCAGCATTAGTCATTACCAATAACCATTAAATCAGAATAGGTATAAAACTCAATATATCTCCAATTGTATTGACCTGTCAAACACTTGAATTTCCCTTACCAACATTGACTCGACGAGCTTTCTGAGTCCCGTACATGATAATATAATTCTAGAATAAATTTTGAACTTCAGAATTGTAATTGTTGTTAGATTTTCTCTGGATATAAAGACAAACCAAGAACACGAGTTTCATTTCTTCTTTCGGGTAAATTATCAATTCTACGCCGACCACCGGCTGTGGTGCAATCCCAGATTACATAATGGGCCACCATCTACCACATTTTTGTACAAGTTGAAACAACTAAACTGATACCACAATCCTCTGAGAACAGATACCATTAGAAAAGTACCAATTTCTCCAGCAATGTGAAATTATACAAATGCCAGTTGGAAATATCATTCCAGAAACTAAATTTATATACTTTTTTTATCCAAAGCATGAGTACCTTGAGCAAGTTCAGTAGCTGAAACATGGAAAATACCGACTTTTTTTATTATTATTATCCAAACCATGAATTTTACAATAAAATTGGCATCAAACTTGACAGTTATATAGGGTGTTCAAATATTTGTTCTTAAAGAAAGGTATTAATCATTACCTAAAAAGTAATTTCTCTGAATCAACAAAACTATAATGAATAGAATATCTTTCACAGATTTCTCAATAAACTCAATAGCAAATGAATAGACTTCGATTTAGATTACACTTCAGCGTACAGACATAGGTAGATCGAGCATTCACCTGCAAATCCATAGCAGAAGAAACCATCAATTCTTGAAATCTTCTTTCTGCAATTTCTAAAGTAGCGTCGCTGATGAATCCTTCTAAAAATCTTTTTTATTGAAATACTCAGAAATATCAAACTTTCCAATCACACGCACCATATTTCCCTATGAAGTATGCTCAGAAAACTTGTTGATTTAGAGAAAAATTAATAAACAGCTGATTCAAATTAGCAAAGAAAAATTGCATAAGAAATTACACAGAGCAGCTGTTGAAATGGGATTCAAGAAAAGGGATTGTTCAGGCACAGAAAAGGAAGTGAAAAATGAACAAAAACACCTCAAAGCCTCGATCTTTATCTGAAACCAGTGATTGGAATAGGCTAAGATAAAAACAGAAAGATCGTAACTTGATTTCCCATGAAAAAAATATCAATAAATAGTGAGTGTTCAGCAAGTAACGGAGTAGGAGATCTTTGTTCAGCCTAAAAACTGAGAGGCGAAAGAGAAAAATGCAGAGAGGACTAAAATGAAAGAAAAATAATTTTAATTTGGTTTTCAGAAGTGGGAGGGGAAAAGAAAAAGGAGGAGGAAGGGTGCAATGGGTGCCACGTCAGAAAGGTAAATTCAATTAATTCTGGGGTTTAATAGAACTAACGAGAAAAGCGTCGAATCTTGTGGCTCCCGTTAAAAGATCCCCGACACGTGTTCTACGTCATCACCACTTTTTCTCGCCCTTTTCTTTCTCTTTGTTATTTTTATGCTATCTTACTCGCGCAACTTGCCTCAGGTTGACCTACACGTGTCAGGAGTTTAGTGGGTGGCATTTTTCACGGGCACTTTTTGGCTGTCCTTTTTTACAAAAAATAATATTTAATTGGCACCACAATTTCCATTTCTTGTATCACTTTTTAATTGTACTTCAATTATATTACTTATATTCTTAATAATTTTTCATGTCATTCTTATCTTAAAGCTTTTCATTAATTAATACGTTTATTACTTGATAACAGTTTTATGTCCAAAAGTTCAACCGTCCGTTGAAATGATATAAAAGAACCTATTTTTCATCATATTATTTAAAAATAAATAATGCAAAAAATAATTTTTCCCCAATTGAAAATATGAAAACAAAATATTTTTATATAAACATCATTAATAGCGAGACATACTAATATTTTTATATAAACAAAATGTTTATGACGACTTTATTTCAAATTGAAATTTTAGCAGAAAAGTGCAAGGGCTTATTAAATATATAGAGATGTTTGTCCCAAATAAACACTTTAACAATCATGAATCGCCCCGCGAGTATAGTCGCATATACAACTTGCATTCCCACCTAACTCCCATGTGAGACATAAATATCCACCAAAATATATTTTCAAATATATATATATATAT